TAAGGCTCAAAATCAACACCCGAAGAAGCCCTAATCACCACATGAACACATGGAGATTAAACAACACACTCCTGAATGATGAATGGGTCAAAAGAGAAATTAAGAAAGAAATAAAAGTATTCCTGGAACTAAATGAAAAAGACAATACAACACAACAAAACCTCTAGGGCATGCTGAAGCTGACCTTAGAGGGAAGTTTATAGCTCTAAGTGCCTACATAAAAAAATGGAAAGAACACAAATAAATGACTTAACATTACAACTCAAGACACGTAAAAAGCAACAAAAAATGAAACCCAAATCCAGCAGACAAGAAGAAATAACAAAAGTCAGGGCAGAAATTAATGAAATTGAAACAAAAAAAAAATACAAAGAATCAACGCATCCAAGAGCTGGTTCTTTGAAAAGATAAACAAGATTGACAGACTGCTAGCCCAGTTAACCAAAAGAAAGAAAGAGCACCTCAAAATCAATAATATCAGAGAGGAAAAGGGAAACATCACAACAGACACCAGAAGCATACAGAATATTATAAGGGAATGCTTTAAAAACCTATATGCTACTAAATCTGAAAACCTAAAAGAAATAGACAGATATCTAAAGGCATGGGAACCACCAAAACTAAACCAAGAAGAGATTAACAACTGAAACAGGCCCATAACACAAAAAGAAATTGAAAGAGTAATACAAAACCGCCCGACTAAAAAAAGCCCAGGACCAGATGGATTTACAGCAGAATTCTATCAGACATTTAAAGAAGATCTACACCAATAGACTTAATTTATTCAAAAAGATAGAAATGGAGGGAGAACTTCCACATTCCTTCTATGAAGCCAGCATCACTCTTATACCAAAGCCAGGTAAAGATAAAACCAAAAAGGGAAACCATAGACCAATATCCTTAATGAGCATTGATGCAAAAATTCTCAACAAGATACTTGCAAACCACATACAGACACACATCAAAAGGATCATCCACCATGATCAAGTTGGCTTTATCCCAGAAATGCAGGGATGGTCAATATACGTAAGTCAATAAACGTCATAAATCATATAAATGGGCTCAAAGACAAGAACCACACGGTCATCTCAATAAATGCTGAGAAGGCCTCTGACAATATTCAACATGCATTTATGTTCAAAGTCCTAGAGGGAACTGGACTGGAAGGAACATACCTCAACATAATTAAAGCCATACAAACCCAGAGCCAACATCATTCTAAATGGAGAAAAACTAGAAGCATTCCCACTGAAATCAGGAACCAGACAAGGGTGTCCACCATCTCCACTTCTCTTTAACATAGTGCTTGAAACTCTTGCAAGAGCAATAAGACAAGAGCAGGAAATTAAAGGAGTTATAATTGGAAAATAAGAGATCAAATTATCCCTTTTGGCAGATGATATGATATATCTAAGAGATGCCAAAAATTCCACCAGAAAACTCCTAGAAATTATTAACACGTTCAGTAAAGTGGTACATTACCAAGTTAACCTACAAAAGTCTGTAGCCTTTCTATATACCAATAATAAGCAATCAGAGAAAGAGCACATGGAAACACCTTCACAATAGCTGCAAAAAAATAATAAAATATCTTGGAATAAACGTGACCAAAGACATTAAAGACCTCGACAATGAAAATTTTTAAGTCTTTAAGAAGAGATTGAGGAAGACATCAGAAGATGGAAGGACCTCCCATTCTCATGGATTAGAAGAATTAATATTGTGAAAATGACCATCCTACCAAAAGCCATTTATAGATTCAATGCAATGCCAATCAAAATCCCCATGACATTTTTCTCAGAATTGGAAAAAAATCATCCTAAGATTCATATGGAAGCACAAAAGACCTCGGATAGCCAAAGCAACCCTGAGCACTAAGAGCAATGC